CATGCCTAAAACGTCCAAGTTAAAAAATTTGACACATTTTTATATTTTCTATCCCTTTTTTCCTTCTTAGTTCACACACTCTAAATAAAATTTTAAATACAGTAACATTCCATTTCTCAAAACTTTATTTCAAAGAATTTGATAGATTCAAAGTAATTGATTGGGCTCCCTGTGCTGCTAAACCGGTCATACGTGTTTTCAATATCAGGTTTAGGAAGAAAATCTGTCCAATCAGCATCGAGTATTATTTTCCCGCCTTTATCTGTTGTKTGACTCGTGCGCGAGCGTCAGTTTGGTTTGTGAGTTTGAGGTCGTCACAGTTCTCTTGGTTTGCTTGTCCTTTTGTTGGATATTTTATGCTCAACTTACACTTAAATTGTGAAGATATCATGCTACAAAAATACCTTGACAGACGGTAAGTGTTTTTCACTTCTTAGTTTAGTGCGTATTGAAGACTTTTAGTTAAAAACATTGTTTTAAAGAGTGATTGCTTTTCATCTTTCTAGGTTGACTGTCAAGGTTAGCATGCAAGCTAAGACCAGATAGCCAAGGTTTGGTATCAAAATACCACTAAAACATCACCATATTTACATGTAGTTTTAATTTGTTGACAATCAAGTAATCAATCTTTGTAATTCTTTTGTTCAACACATAACTTAAGTTTAAGCCGTTTTTGCAAAATTTTCTGAAACTGAAAAGGTCTGAAAACAGTCCAGTTTTCAGTTCAGTTTTTAGATTTTACCGTTGAATATAAATAAATTTACGGGATTTTTTAATAGTTCTGAAACCGGGAAAATCTACTTCGTGTAAAATTTCAAAGTTTGCTTCCAAGTAAGTTAACTGACTTCACAAATTGAATGCACCTTTGTCACAATATCAACTATTTTCATGTTTTATTCAAAAAAACAACAGCAAAATCAATTTCAAATACCAAATTTTCAATTAATAAGAAAGAAATAATATTTCTGTCATAGCTTGACCAAACTTTGGCTGTTTTGGGCCCAGAAAAGAAAATAGACATGAAATCCAAACAAACTAGAAAAAACATTGTATTTTTACTGTATCATTGAGTTATATTAGTCTACAACTACATGTACAGTGTATTAAAATTACATTAAGATTTTTATTCAAGCTTTCTAAACCCAAGAGAAAAAATCTTAATAAGAAAGTTTTTCATGTCCTCTCATTTGTACAAGTTCAGCTTTACTGAAACTGAAAAAATCCTATCAMCTACAAAATGTYAAAAACTATCATACAAAATTATAAAATATACATTTTGATATAAGCTTATATTTTTACAAAAGAATATGTAAGGAATTGTAGAAAACTAAGAAATGATGAATAAATAGTTTGATGTGATTTTTGTTGTGTTTGGTTTACTTGTATCACTACAACTCTACAAGAGTCAAACATTGAATTATCTACTATATGACTAACTYAAGACCAGGATATTTATCACTACAGAATTGTCTAGTTTTCTCTYTACATTCAGCAGATATGTTATTAWMAGACAGGTYTAGCTYGGTGAGATTACTGGCTAAGTGTWYCATGATGTCATCCACTCCACCATCAGTTATCTCATTASCATWCAGGTRTAGCTYGGTTATTTTTGTCTTTTGTAAATCTTTACACAAACACTTTACRTGTTCRTCATWCAAATTACACCRCCWCAGGTMCAGTMCWKTKATTGAACAGTTTGTAATGAGTGATGAYATCAATCTCTTTATCCCRGTAATGGTTATCGKTGASWWAMCAATGWACAATGTKTGTRGTGGTGATGATATTGATGTAGCAGTGKATTCTACTAACATAGCGATTSCATCCCAGTCCRTKTCGGTTRCACCARRTAATMCAATCYMCCCATYACGAYSCCAGTATCTGTAGTCACGGTTTGTATTTAGTTCTTGTCTTGTCAAGCGTTTGTCTTGACCAAACTCGTGCAGGCATCGCAATGACACCAGTCTTAGTCTAGTAAGGAATGTATTTTCTATATGTTTACCTAGACACTCTAGTAGTTCTACCATTAATTCATTATTATCATTTAAACCCAACAAACCGCTCATGAATGTGTACACCATTTCAGTGCTTTTTTGTGCCGCCATTACGCCTTTCTTCACCAAATACCGAGCAACAAGAAACTCTTGAATGGTGAAGTGTGTGAAGCTATATTCACAGATTGGCTTTTGAAATGGCGAATTATTACTTGAAACAGGATAACAAAATATAAGATTRCTAGATTTTATGTACAATAATTCATTTTCTGATAATTTTAGGTTTTCTAGGTCTTGTAAGGTAAAACTAAATCTCTTTTGTTCAGTTAAAAGTGCCGCTAACTTTGAAAAATTATCGAGCGTTTTGTCAACAGCCAACGAAGCGGCTTTGTCATCTAAACTAAGTAATGATCTATTATAATTAGTTTCTATACATTGAATTACTTGAAAATAAAACTCTGTAAGTGTGAGAGGACATGAATTATCGTGTTTTTTGATTTTCCACTCGATGAACACGCACATCAACAAACAACGGAAAGGGACGCGACCAAATGAAATGTAGTGCGCGCTTTCTTTAACCTTACGAAGTGCCATGTTTTTTACTTCTTCTG